AAAATTTTGGCGGACCCGTACACGGCTACCACGCGGATGATGGGGCCCATTTTGGGGGGTTGGGGCACGTACGTGCATGTAGATTAAGTTCCCGAAATTTCAGCCCTGCAGCTTTTACAGGTATTGAAATGAAAGTGCGTGACAGACGCACACACGGACACACAGACAACTTCGTCAATATGCGTTTTAGCATTGCATAGCTGCAAAAAACGCATTAAAAAAACACAATTGGAAAAAAATCCGAAAATTTTACCTCTCCTCAAAATTAGCAGGCTAGCTGCCAACTCGATAAGTCATTCAAAAGATTAGGTCATACGAGAAAAATATTCAAAAAATCATATTCCACCAGTAAGTATGCCGGCTACCATCAAATGGTCCGTGAAAAATGTGTTCATTTCTTCCGAACAAAAAGTAAAAAAAATCTATTTTTGACAACTAAGATGATAATAGTCAGTTCAGTAAGGCGTAATCCATTTGAAGGACATACCTGAAGGGTACTTATGCCATCGGCTTCACCTTTGATGCACCTTCCAGCAAAACTGCTCTCCGCAAAATACTCCTGTGCTTCGTCCGTTTCATAAATCCTGTGATCCAGTACGTCATCATCCAAAGACAAAGGCCCTTCCAGTTCCGGCGCATTCTCCACCTGCCCACCAGTTATCTGTCCGAAGACGCTTTCATGCAATTCGCTTTCCTTTGCTATGCTTCTCATCCTGCAGAAAAAAAGATGTTATGGGTGCGCAAAAAAAATTTTTTTTTAAGACTAAAACCATAAAATGCGAAATTTCTGATAAAAACTAATAAACTTACAGTTTTTCAATAGCACTGTCACTGGGTATCGGCGCATCAACAAAATAGGACGGGTAGCACTGGCGAATAATTTCTTTGATCTGAACTCGATATTTCATTCTTTCATCGATGGGATGCCGACAGCTACTGTGCACGTCGCGGATGTGCTTCACCACCAAATCCCTCAACTGGTTGCCCTGCAAAAAGATTTAAGCAAAAGTGATGCTCATCTGCAGAAACCCAGTATGCATGCAAACAAAAAAATCCTGAGCAAATCATAATTCAAAACTTCTAACAGGTATGAAAGAATGACTGAAATGCTCGGCTCGCCCAGGTATATTCTGCTCCAGACAGTGCAAAACACTACAAAATGGATGTGGATTTTATTCCTCGAATTTGGTAGTAAAAAATTAATGATGGGTGAAAAAACTCACGTTTGTACAGTGTGGGCATAAGAAGAGCAGCACACCAAGATGTTTATATGCGTGATCAATCATACGTGAAGTCACTAAAGCGCCACATTTCTAAAACAGGTTTCATAAAGCTGCACAAATAAGCAATTGAAATATTCCCAGGCTAATGAAGATTTGTTTATGAATGTAATCCAGACCAAGTGCTAAGAAAGCAAGGAAAAATGATGAAAATCGATGAGATTACTACCTGACACAGCGCTGCTTCACTTGACTGGCGTCTTTTTACATACTGTGAGCCACCCAACATTAGGCTAATTTCACGCAATTTAGCAGCCTCCCTACGTTTGACTCTCGATAGCTGCCGAAATCCAAAACGACGACTTTTTGATTTTCTCGCACGATCACGACTATAGTTGGTCGACGCCCGCGGCTGTGGTTCCGACCGTGGTCTTGGTGGCCTCGGCAATTCATTGATTTCGTTTGCAGATGGCATCCTGAGATCATTATCGTCCTGGAAAACACAAAAGCTGACATGTTTAAGTTCTTTTCAGCAAGTATTTTTACAGGTTAGCTTGCATTCTAAAAACTCACATGCATTCTGTTGACTTTTTATTAAAATCCCACATTTCCCAACAAGTCCATAAAACAAACATACCACACTAAGCGTTGTACTCAGTTTTTCTTCATCCGTCTTTGCATCTTCATTTATCCCATCGTCGTTTCCTGTTTTATCCGAAGACTGAATGAAAAAAAAAAAAACATAAAAAGAAAAAATAAAAGAAAAAATCATGAAAGAAACAAATAACAAATTAAATATGGCATAAAAAATGCTCGAAGAAATCCACCTTGCTTTTTTTGCGATTATCCTGCGCAAATGTTGACTGCAGGCCAAAACACAATTCAGATACCTTTTTTACAACGTCTGAGTAATCCTGAAATCCAGCAATTCTCGAAGATAAGTATGTAAAATGCTATAACTTTCAGTCTCTGTTCCTCAGTCATCTTCAATTCAGCATGATTACAGTTACTCATCAACGTGCTGCGCAAATGAAAAGATTTCCACTTACTCAACCTAGTCGAAAGGGTACCGACTGCCGGTACGAGGATGTGTTTTTTGCACAATTCTCCGCAGGTTCTTTTCGCCAGTAGCACGTTCTTCCCAGCAGATGTTTCTAGCTAAAAGAATTAAAGCTGGCCACCACGACTGTTAGAAATTATTACAACGACTCCCAATCCATGCCCAAAAAATTCAACGCTCTGGATGCTTCAAACTTCACGCGTTTTACGTGAGTGGCAACGTGAACGCTTTCTTTGCCTACGGTTGTTCAAACACGGTCCTGGGTAACGCTCAGAAAATTTCAGCACTCAAGTTGATCTAGTTGCGGAGATACGTCAAGTCTCACGTGTTCGTACGTGAGTAGTAACGTGAATGCTTCCTTCACTTGCGGTTACTCAAACACAGTCCTGGGTTTCTGCGTGCATCTGGTCAAAGGCCACCGTCGGTTATGCTCAGAAAGTTTAGATCTTCCAGCTGGTTCAATTCTGAAGTTAAAGAAGCGCATGCATGAAACTTTCGCTTGTCCATGCATGAGATGCAGAGAGGCTGGACAGTTCAATTTGCTTTCACAGACACACCAGTGGGAGACAAGTAAAGCTGCAAAATTGCAGCTCTCTGCAGCTCATTGGTCAGCTGAAAGCTGGAGTTGGCATGACGCCAGTTTAGACTTTGACGTGTGCGTACGTGAGACCTAGCGGTGTGTAAAGGCCGAATTTGAAATCTTTGGATTAGACGCGACCAAGGAACAACTCTATGAAGTTCCAGCCTCTTAGCATGGGCCGTTCCCGAAAACGCTTTCCCACCAAAAAAAATTTTCACGTGTTCTTACGTGAGAATCGCGCGGAACTAAGCGTCCATTTTGAGGATGCGAGTCCTCACGCATGTGTAGATTAAGTCACCAAACTTTCAGCCTTATAGCTTTTGTGGATCTCGAGATGAAAATTCGTTACAGACGCACACACAGATACACATACACACACGCACAGACAACCCCTCGACAATATGCACTTTTGCATTGCATAGCTGCAAAAAACGCATAAAAAACATACTTCCTATAACTGGATAACTAACTGTCATGATATATAACAAATTATGATGTATTCACCGACGAAAGCAAAAGAGCGAAAGCTGGTAATGAAAAAGCAAGAAGTGGAATGAAGGATGCTTGGAGTGCCATTCTGTGACCATAAGAATTATTCAGGCCTTTAGAATTATGCACGTAGAATGTCAATGAAGCGTGAGGAGAAAGTAAAAACTGATAGCAGAGGGTATTGCTCACACTGCTTTTCATACTAGTGAGTGGTACTCTCGAAAAAATGAATGGCTGCATTGTCAACTAGAGGTGAGGTGTCACATATCAAACCAGCGAAGGTACTATATGGAGGAACGCAACTCATGAACGAAGGCCCTGGATCTGCACCGGAGTCTAGAAACACCCCAAGTGATATCATTAATATGCAATCTCACACTTTCTGTCTAAACAAGTTTCTTTTTTTGCTTTTAGTTACTTGAAACAAACTGTCGCAGAGCTCACATGATTCCTGTGCATGGATACCACATGGCATACCCGACTGGGATAATCGAAGGTAATGCAATCGGCAGTTTGTGGAATAAGAAAAATGCCTAAACGCACTAGCTCTCAGGTGCATACCCCTTCTCACTTCCTTGTACTGAGAGCAATCCTTTGTATTCACATAAGCTCAACTCGAACCTCAATACGGTCCTCAACGCAATCGTCAACGCCATGCTCCTTCTTTCCATGATTTGTAACTGACAGCGATCTATCATGGCCAAAATCACAAAACTTGCACGCATAACGATTAACACCAAAATCCTTGGACATGTGCCAAAGGATGTGGAAGCCGCGGATCTGTAAATTACGTTGATTTTTTAATTATTATTTCACATGCGTAAACGCCCTGAATAATGCAGATGATACTATCCGAATGTTCGAAACAGCACAACATCACAGAGGCAGCCCACCGATATCAGAACGACCGCCCAATCACGCAGGGACAAACACTGTTTAGATCGATTACAGTAACTTCGCTGGTAATACAGTTACCAACTTTTGCAAAACAAATATATCAATCTGAAGCAACGTTGCTGCATATCGCGGCCGAATCTTACCACCTTTTACGTTTGCTACCCTTGCTCATTTGAAATTAAAACTGATTTCCTGCCCCATTCCCAGTCATTCCGAAGATGTCCTTTTCAAATTTTTTGAACAAAACACCAGAAAATAGATTTGCTGGCAAGTCTGGGTCAAAAAACCGGAATATACGCGACTAAAAAATTAAATCATTAATTTACAGAACACTTTTTTACGCGGAATCAGAAATTTCGTCAATACTGGCTGCTGTTCCCGAGTTTTATCCTGGGCCTGATCAGAATGGACAAAGCTGACCCATTCACAGCTATAGTTGTTATGTTATGCAATTTGCCAACAAAACATACTCTGCTCTCCAACATTTTGCGGCATAATCGGCATTCCAACGCTTCTCCATCGTTTTGTTCACAACCAGAAGCAGTTCGTGATGTGGACGGATTAACTGCACGTACCCGATCAACACGACTGCCCGCTTTCTGAGCAGCAGAAATCCTACCAGTTTTCGACGCGGCTGTTGCTGCAGCACGTTGCTAAAAATATATTTCTTGAGCACTGCCTGCGATGGACTGAACGAAAAATTACAATTCAATGCCACACCAAGAACACTCCTCACCGCTCAGAGCTCGGTTAAGCTCGGAAACGCCAGGAAATGCTAATTAGCAGTGCAGAAAAGCAACCAGGACATGTAAATCAAAAAAAAAAAAAAA